TCACAGCCCCTCGTTTGTTGTCCTCTTCTCTCTCTCTGCCTATGGTTTACCGGGCAGTTCTGTTTGTGACGATATATATACAAGCCGGGGCACAAACGCAGCTACTGCCATTATTACATCACCAGACTGAGTACTCGGGAGCTTCGGTGATTTGCGATTAAATCACCGGACCGAGTACTCGGGAGCCTTCAAGTTGGCGATTTCTGCTGCCAGCTAATTGGTCGACAAACTGGTGTGGGCTCCAAATTCAATTTATCCGGCTGGCACCGCCACCGTCTTCGGTTCGGTAGGCCAACCCTCAAAAAGGACATGGCGTGTTAATGGCTGTCCGGGAAAAGTACAGGTGGCTTAAGAGGTATACAGATTGATGAGATTGGGACGTTTTTTTTTTTGTTTTTTTTTTTTTCGTGTTTTTTTTTTTTTTTGGGGGGGGGGAGGAGAGATGCTAATCTGGGGAGGATGAGGTTTGTGGCTGTGGTAGTAGTAGTCGTAGGAAGGCACGCTGGCGTGGAAGGACTTGCTGCTGTGCAAGTGATTTAGTTATCTGAATTTTATTATTATTATTATTTTTTATTTTTTTTGGGTTTGACTTCTTGTTTCTGGGAGCCCATGGCTCACTAATAAGTGAGTAAGGAGTTTGATAGCTTCCCTCTTTTTTTTATTTTTTGTGAAATAAGTTAACTATTAATTTATTCAATCTTCTTATATGTGAGAGTCGTCTCTGAGCCAACAATGATCGTGGCGCAAGCAGTGCTACGTGGCAGGAAACCGACATCGCAGTGCACCTGCGAGCTTAGAAGAAGTCCGGAACTCGACTGGATTTAAATGGAGAGAGAGAGAGAGAGAGAGAGAGAGAGAGAGAGAGAGAGAGAGAGATTGGTTTATTCACCTTTGGTAGGTTGGATCGAAGTTGAAAATAACTGAGCCGTCCACGCTTTTGCGAAAATATAATTTATTAATTTGAATTTCTGCGACGGTAATTGCGAATTGCCAGCAACAAGTGCGTCTGCAGGTGGTCTTTTTTTTTTTTTCTCTTTTTTTTTTTTGAATTTCTGCAAAGGAAATTGAGAATCGCCAGCAACAAGTTCTTCTGCAGAAGTTTTTTTTTTTTTTTTTTTTTTAATTACCATTTCTTTATCTGTGCGTGGCATCCTTGCTCAGAGGCCATGCTGCTACTCTCTTCCCTTCTCCGTATCATTCCAATTTGTTCAATGGATGTCCCGAAGGATGGAACTCATATTTAAATTTGTTAAATATATGTTAAATTATTAAATACCATTTCTTTGTGGAGAGGTTCTCGGATGGAACTCAGATTTAAATTTGTTTAAGACTTTCTCTCTGGCTTTTTGTTGTTGTCCACTCTGTAAGTTTGAGTCATCCACTGTCGTCAGTGGAATATAACGACCCGTCATTAAATCTGTATTTATTACAAATGTCGGTCCAGTTACAGACATAATTACCGGGTGTTCTGTTCGGGTGAAGAGTCTGAAGACAGTAGTCCCTCTCTCAATCTAGTAGCATCATATGTCCCTGAAGAAGCCCTGTTGAAGGGGGTTTCTTCATGGTGCACTCTGCCTTTTTTTTTTTTTTTTTTTTTTTTTTTTTTTTTTTTTTTATGGCACACTCTGCTTACTAATGCGCGACCTTTCATATTTCGGATCGGAGGTATTTAGCCATCTGCAATGTTTCTGTTCATATTTTCCAAAATGATAAAATTGTCAGCAAATTAGCCGAAAGTCGCTTGTGAGAAGGCTCTACGGTTGTCACCCGCCCGGGCATTAGACGGAAATTTTTGCCAAATGCAGCTATATAGCCTATACGTTTATAACAACCTGGGGTTCTTTTTTTTCTTTTTTTATTATTATCCGTTGTATCTAGACGGAAAATTTTGCCAAATGCAGCTATAGCCTATAAGTTTATAACAACCTGGGGTTCTTTTTTTTTCTTTTTTTTCCGGTTGGACCGCTTATCGATTTATGTGCGTGACCCTTGAACAGGGGCCATCGATTTATGGATGTCACCCTCCCGCAGAGGCCATGCTAAATCTTTTTTTTTTTTTTTTTTCTGTAGTCTTCTACTTTTGACAGATGTTCTGTTCGCTGGGTGAAAAGGTTAGTCTTGAGCTTTTTTTTTTTTTTTTTTTTTTTCACTCTCAGACTGGAGAATCTGAACATGATAGTTCTGATGAGGCATCACATCTCATGTTGTTAAATTGTTAATCATTTTCGGTCTTTTTCAAGATGCTTTCTCCCAATTCCTCTGATTGTGTCAACAAGGAATATCATATTTTCCTCTTCAGGATTTGGAAGGGGGCGCAAGGGTGGAATGGGGAGGTGGGGGGCGGGAGGGTGAACAGGAGGAGCTCAAAAGGGACTACATACAAACTCTCCTTTAATGACTGACAGTAGTATACCCCACAATCCCAATGCGTCCCTCATCTGAATACCCGACCCGTCTCCCCCCTCCTTCCCCAGGGCGCAGAAACAGCGACAGGAAAGTGTGCCAAGGATACTGTGTGTGCCGGGCAGATAGCCACTGGAGCAGGCGCCCCTGTCACAGGGTGAAGAGGCACCGGTAGCAATAAGTACCGTGCTCTCTGGTTCAGGAATTTCCCCTTTAATGGGGTGGGTCATGGACAAGAGACTCCCCTAAGTTCCTAAATGAGTGCTGTGTTTCTGTTGCAGAACCTGGGCAATGCCCAGCCACCTTCTTAATTACAAAGTTCCAGTTTCATAAGGGATGCTGGGCCCAATTCCCAGCAAGTGCTGCTCCGTCGAACAGCGGCGTACACACCTTTGCTTCCACGAAGCCTATGCAGCAGGCTGAGCAGAGATCGTCTCAAAATTTAAGTTGAAACGTGCACATGCCATTCCCGTTGAGCCGAGCCGACTTCGTTGTAGGCAGCGGGACCACTCCTTTCTGTGTGGTCCCGTTCCACACGATGGGACCTCTCTCTCTCTCTCTCTCTCTCTCTCTCTCTCTCTCTCTCTCTCTCTCTCTCTCTCTCTCTCTCTCTCTCTCTCTCTCGCTCGCTCGCTCGCTCGCTCGCTCGCTATCCTTTGCACACCTCTTCTGGAGTCTTCCCCCTTGCACCTCTTTATCCTCCCTCATGGCCTTCTCCTCCCGCTCACACAAACTCCTCCCGCTCACACAAACTCCTCACCCTTGCGCGACCTCCTCCTCCCCCTCCCGCGACGTCCTCCACCTGGTTGTGCGTACGACCTCCTCCCACCCCTCTTACGACCTCCGCACGACCTCCTGCAACCCCCATCCTCCTTGTGCGACCTGCTCCCCCTCGCACGACCTCCTCGTCCGCCTTGCACGCCCCACTCCTCCCCCTCTTCCAACCGCCTCCTCCCCATTGTGCGACTTCCTCCTTCCCCTCGTGTGACTTCCTCCTCCCCAGCGGTCAACCTCCTCCTCGTCCTTGCGCGACCTGCTTGTCCCCCTTGCACGTCGTCCTCCGACCTCCTTCTCCCCCTTGTGCGACGTCCTTCCTCTCTTCCGTCCTCTACCCCTTGTGTGATGCCCTCCTCTCTCTCTCTCTCTCTCTCTCTCTCTCTCTCTCTCTCTCTCTCTCTCTCACGCGCGCACACACACACACACACACACACACACACACACACACACAGAGGTCGGCAGCACTGTGCCCGGGGTGAAGATAGAGGTCCTGGCTATGGCGTTTATGGGTACGCAACTGCAATTCCAGTCTGCTCCACAAAACCAGGAGCCATGCACGGATCTGAATATTCAGGCATATATCTTATATCGTCCAGGTCACTTCAGTGCTCTTACCTTTGCAGATAATGCATGGACCCTATGGGACAATGGCGGTAGGGTGCACACAGTGGGAAATATGAACTCTTTCTATCACCAAATACTCTAGGGTCACTCAGTCTCGCTCATCCATGAGGAACAGTATGTCGATGGGCGTTTGCAAGAGCAATCCGGCTGATTCTACCACAAACAGCGAAAGGACCTCTCCACAGGGACCACAGGATGATGGTTGTGCCCTCCCGTTGTGTCGTCGCACAGGTGCAGTTTGGTTGGCATGTACACGACATAGCCTCCGCTCCGAACACTATGAAGGGATGGTCGCTGCTAGCCTCTCACACGAAAATTGTGATCCCCAGTCCTGTGCGCGTCCCCCCCACCGCTTGATTACTTGCCCAACATGTCGTTGTGGCCTTGGTCTGCCATGCTTAAATAATTGTGCACATCAGCCTTCCATGCTAATGACATGTCAGCAGCATGCCATGTGTCGTCAATGCTTCGAGGAAGCTGTCATAGAAAGTATGTGTCTTTACTGCGTGGACCATCCCCGGTGCCATCATCCTCCACATCCTCTCCTAGCATGTCCCACATGCGGTATCGGTCAAACACCTACGGCAACCACTGACGGATCTCCCTCTTTCTTGCCAGACGAACGACGAACACAGCAGTCCGAGGAGGAAAATAGACTTCTATATGAACCACCGGAAGAGCTATGTGCTCATAGTTTATCACCGCCAGGGCGAGCTGTTGCAGATCATATCCTGCAGCAGCTGAATGCCCTTGCATTGGACCGATCCTCCCTGTCGTCGTCTGCCCATAGAGAAGGAATACATACTGAGGAAGCCCAAGAAAGATGCTCCATGCCGTTTTGTGAT